TTTGGGAATGATGAGGGCAACAAATGTATAGATGTGCTTTACACAATTGATCTATGTATTGTGATGAATTGTATTAGCCCCAATAAATTGATTTTTAAAAAAAAGTTTAAAGAAAAAAAGCATTTATAAACAAGCAATCTTCATGGCATCAATACTAGCTAGCAAAATACACCTCTCCAGAGAAGCAGTCCCAGCCATCATATTCTCACTACGATCCAGTTGATGCCATAATAGCCACCTTTCAGGGTAGACCTGCCCCTGGGAGTTCCCAGACTCTAACTCTGCACGAGAGTAGAAAGCCCAGAGTTTCTCCCACGGAGAGGCTACTAGTGTTTGGGCTGGTGGAGATCATCGCAGCCCAACAAGTAACCACTACACCATCCAGGCTTCTAGCCACCACATGAGGAGGTAATTAAATGTTTGACCAGTATGGCTCCAAAATGATGTTATAAATATCCACATGGCCCTTGACCAAAAAAAGGTTCCCAACTCCTAGTCTAACAAACCTGCACTACTGAACAGAAAGTCATAGAGTGCTATCCAGTAAAACCTCCTGTGGCTACTGAGCATTTGAAATGTGAGTGGTACAACTGAGGAACTTTAAGTTCTTTTCTTTTCTTTTAATAAATTTCCATTTCATACCCAGCATAGGTCTAGGCATATCTCTTCTATCAAATGGAGATAAATCATGGAGGAATATAAAAAACCCTGTTGATTTTCAATTTGATATGTAAACAAAATAAAAATGTTCCCTTTAAAAATTTTTCAATTAAAACTCATGTGTCAGAATAGAGCCGTGCTCCACAGCATTTTCAATGGCTGATTTTTTAAAAGTAGATCACCAAGCCTTTCTCCCAAGGCACCACTGGGTAGTTTTCAACCTCCGGCCTTTCTTTTAGCAGGCAAGGACTGGAACCATTTGCACTTCCCAGGGACTCCGAGCAAAAAACGTTAACACCTACTCTACCACTTTCACTCAAATCTACTTCACATAGGTACCTAGTATTAACCATTATACACACACACACAAATTTCCAGACTTTTCTATACAGGTACAAAAATATCCATATTTATTTTTACCAATAAAAAAGACATAATAAATTTCAGTTAAAAATATTACAGCAAATGTGGAAAAAGTTTGAAAAGCACTGTTATTCATCATCCATTTTTAAAATTGGACAAGCAAGAGATTAACCAAGTAATAAAACATCTATGGCAAAAACCAAGAGAATTCTATGCCAAACACGTGTAAGATCTATTTATCTCTTTTTAATTAAACTACTTCATCTGGAAAAAGGATAAACTGCTTAGCTAAAGCAAGATAAACTGAGGTCAGTAACTTCTCACTGTAGTCATTAGGACAGCAATATACTCCAAGTTAATTTTTCCTTCCCCACAAAAAAGGCCTCAGCGTAGCGGCAAAAAAAAAAAAAAACCACACCCCACTGCCACGGAGTCGATTAGAACTCAAAGCGACTCTATAAAGGGATTCCAAGTCTGCAGAAGCGGACAGTCTCGTTGTCTTCTTGCAGACTGGCTGGTGGGTTTGAACAACTGACCTGTGGTGAGTAGTTCAATGCCAAACATACAAGGTCACCACGCTCCTTCAGAATGGCTGCACTGGATTGTCAAACTGTAAGCGTTTACCCAGCACTACTGTTAACAGGGCAGGAACATAACCACTACTGTTAATAAGGGCAGGAACATAATCCAAGAGGTACTGGGTGCAGAAAAAGTTTGAGAGCCACTGGTGGGAGAATACTCACTGCCAGCAAATGGATTCTGACGCCTAGTGACCCTACAAGGTAAATTGCCTTTTCGAGTTTCCAAAACTAACTTTATGGGAGTAGAAAGTCTCATCTTTCTCCCTCGGAGCAGCTGGGGTTTCAAACAGATGACTGAGCTGGTGCCTATGCCACCAGGGTTCCTGATGGAGAACAGTGTTGTCCAAAAACACGAAAAATAAAAGGCCAGGGGTGGGAGGGTAGGACGGTTGTAATATCACACGTTGTAATATCACACGTGGGTACTGAACACTTGGAAGTATGGCCGGAGCAAAAGAAAATCAAAAAACAAACTCAATGCCAACTCCTAGCGACCCTGTAGGGCAGGGTCCAAGTGCCCTGTGGGTTTCCAAAACTGTCATTCTTTCTGGGAGTAGAAAGCCCTGTCTTTCTCTCATGGGAAACAGATGACTAATTCTATTCCAGTTTAGTTCATGTAAATGGCCACGTGTAACTACTGGCTACCAGATCAAACAGTGACAACAAACTCTATAATTCGATTTTCTAAGTCAACAGAAAAACTTTTTACTATTTATTCCCTCCCCGTTACAAAACAATTTTTTTAAAAAACGTCTCCCCACTGTGGGGCGATAGTACCAAAGACTGCATTTTAACATCTTTAAAATGAAGGTGGAAAAAGGGGGTGACTCACATATGCCCAGGGCTCCGGTCGGCGGGTTCGGCCATATACTCCATTTTCCCGTACGCCTTGATTCAAAACACACACACAAGAATAAAAGCAGGAATTAAATGATTTCTCCAGTCCCTCTTACACCACTCTTCTTCCTGCCTCTGATACGACAGAAAGGCCTCGTGAAGTAAGCGCGATCAGCCCCGTTTAGCAGTTTTGGAAGAAATAACTTTTAAGATCAAGACTAAGCAATGTCTAGGAGGCCCTCAAGCCTCCGCCTTCGGCCATGACCCGGGCGGGAGGGCTCCGCGCGGGGTCGGCGCAGGCCGGGGCCCTCCCGGCCCACAGCCCCCTCGCCCCGGGATACGCGGGGCCGCCCCCGAGCCTCACCCACCGAGCCGACCCCACGCGGGCTCCGGGGAGGGGCGCACGCGCGGCGCACACGCGGCCGGCCGAGCCCGCCCCGCGCACCCTCAACCGCGGCCCAGCGCCCCGGAAACTACCGGACGCCTCCTGACCGAACCCAAGCCTGCGGGAACCCCACTGGAACTACCCTCACCCGGCACCTCCACAGGTTACTGCCACGGCCGGCACTGCGCCTACGAAGATCTCGCGAGAAGACGCAGACTCTCGCGGCTCCCGAGACGGGAGTTAAAGCCCCGGATGGAGGCGGGAGAAAGCAAGGGCGCCGATGGGCCTAGTAGAGCCCAGGCCCTGCCGGTGGGAAGAGCGGAAACTGGAGGAAACCCGGGACCTGCCTTAGCGCCCACAGTGCCTGAGGAGTTTATAGACTTGTACCTGCATTTTCCTGCCCAGTGGTCATTCCAGAGTCTCGAATCTAAATCTAAGGTGACCAGACGTCCCGCTTTTGGCGGGACAGTCTCGATTTGGGGCGTTTTTAAAA